GAAGTTAAGCGAGTTCGGACGAGAGCATTTCGATGATGGGTGACCCACTGAGACGTTCTCTTGTGAGTTCCCAGAAACAAAACCGTGAGGGCGTGGTCGGGGCCCCAAGCGGACAATATCGTGCTACGACGAAATTGGTCTGGGATGTGACATCCCAAATATAATTTTATGACACGAAAATCTTCGAAATGGTCTAAATTAATTTTAGGAAACATGTGATGCGACGAGAATGACTCGAATTTTTCCTTATAATGAATCTTGTATAAATTCTCAAAATCGAATGGAAAACGTGACCCACAGTTTTTGTGAAAAAAATTGAAATTTTTAGTTTTAGGAAATATTTTGCGTGGAAGTTAAGGAAAATGTTACAAGAGATTTGATGTGATCCTACCATTTATTAGGTCCGAAAACTATTATTCCAGCTAACAATTCACAGATGTCATACCTGCACATACGTAATAGTAATTGATCAAATTAATATGATGATTAACAAGTAAAACAAAAAAAAGAATGACGAAGAATCAGGCCCAAAAAATTAATCTACAATGAATATCAGTAAGGCCCAAGGGGGAAGAATATAAGATCCACAAAAATTGGGAGAATATGATGATGAATTAAGCTGCGCTGGGGAGCAAGGGAATTAATCAAACGCTGTCCAACATTTTTTTATATTCCAACAACAACATCAACAACAATAATTATCGTCAGAAACTAATCAAATCTGGAAGAACTTGGTGGTTATATGCAGTAGGTACTGGATGATGATATGGTATTATATTTTTCGACGACGGCGCAAAAGGGTTTCTATATTGTCCTTGTCCCCCGACACCGATAGCACTACTGCTCGTAGTATTGTAGCTGTATCCGCTCACATCGGAGAATCCAGATGTATCTGCGCTCACCCAGCTGATCAAATCCTCTTCAAACACCTCCCATTTGTCCGTAATTATCGTCTTGGATTTCTTCGCCGGTTTCTGCATGGCCACGATCGCTTTGTCCTCCTCCATCTGCGCCGCCGCCATCCGGTCGCATTCCATGAAGCTTTCCTTCCTTTTCGACGCTTGGTTAATTATCCGTTCGAGGTCTCTGATATCCTCTTCCGGGATCTGTTCGACTTTAGGACAATCCGCCGTGCTGAGGATCCCCATATCCATGCAGTATTCGAGGTACAATGAGAGCTCCTCCCCTTGAACCCCCGCCTTCTGAACCACCCCGAGCGCCATCTGCGCCTCCTGCTTGCCTGGGGCCGCGTAAATCCTCAACAGCGCGCCGGCAATCCCTTTGCAGACTCTGCTGTACACGTCGAAGATCTCCGTCAGCAAACAAATCATTGCTTCGGAAATAAGATAAACCTTGTTGTTATTGTATGTGTGATTATTAGTGCGATGCGGACTAATCGCTTCCGGCTTGATCTCGAGAAGCATGTCGAGCAACGACTGCCACTTTTGCAATCGCCCGAGCTCCTCCAGCAGCGGCGGCTCCTCCTGGTCGGACTTGCTGTTGTTCTTCTTCACCAACGTGCTAAAAAATGAGGATCTCTGATCCAAGTACGTAAAATAAGCGCGGACAAACGCGTCGTACGCCCATGTCTTGCTGGGCTTAGAATGTTTGTCGCAGAAGTTAGAAAGGTCGAACGGCAGCCGGCCAATCTTTTGGACGGAGAGGATTTTGCAGCAGAAAATGCCGTGCATGAGCATTAGGCCTTTGAGAGCGACGACCCAAGAGTGAGTTTTCTCCATGCGTGTGGAGAGCGCGTAAAGGAGGGGCTTGAGGTAGAGCGGAGAGGTGCGGACCCATTGGTACACCCTGTGGAAATTCTTGTAATCTACTGTGGCCTCGTCGTGGCTGGTGGCTTTGATGATGATGGCCTCCAAATCGGGGTTGCGGAACGACGTCCGCCGTGAGATGGTGGCCACCCAGATGCTGTTCCGGTCTTTGATTAGCCCGGCAGCCTTTTTCCACAGTTTCATTTCCCTCCTCTCTCTCTCTCTCTCTCTCTCTCTCTCTCTAATTCTAATTTGTCACCAGCACCTTCTCATGCAAACCCTCCTTTCCCTTATTTTAGCTCTCTAATTACATTGCTTTTGTTTGTTTTTCCAATTGGACAGACAGCCTGTGGCTATATTTGGGAGGTGAATAAAATGGGAATAAAATATTTTTTGAGTGATTTTCCAAATAAAACGAGTGATGGAATCTCAACGAACAGAAGAACAGCATTGGCTGGCTGTTATTTTTTTCACCAGAATAAGAAAGATACATCTAGATGTATTTGCTTTTGTTGGACTTATTCCAAAGGTTTGTTGTGCTTGTCACACGTTAATTAACTCGTTTCTATTTTTAGGAGATATACTATATACACCAATATGCCAGAGAGGATCCATTAAAATTCCTATGAGAGTCGTGTTTATATACTCAAACACCGAAAAATTTTAAAATGGCCGCTCAATAACGGGAGTCAAGTCTTCAATAATTAAATATTTAACGGTCACAGATGTTGGTCTATATTGCGTCCATGCTAAACAAACTCACTTATAAACGATAATGTTGCTTAGACATACCAAATTGACCACATCTCTCATAGAGGTTAAGACAATGATTGTAGTTATATGTGAGACCCACACATATAGAGAGGTGGTTTCTAATATAATCAGTTTTGTTTGTCTAAATGTTTTTTATGAGTTGCTTCTTTATAAAAATTCAATAATACTTGTTGAAATCGACAAATTGTAAGATCTAAAGAAATTGAAAAATTAAATTTCTTTCAAGAATTGTAAGCAATATAACTCACAATTTTAATCTGTCACGCATGCTGTAACAAATCGTCAAAGCAATAATAACAACTTTTAAGCACATTTTGACAAACTATATATGATATATGATTAAGACTACTAGATGAGACAACAAAATCTTCTAATGATCAGGTTGTAGATACGCTATGTCTTGTGGAGAACAAATAGTAATTTTTTAGTAACTTTAGAAAACTACAAAGCATAATGCTGATTGCTTTTGTGGAGGGTACTGCATAAAGTATTATGTATTGCAATTTGCGTTGAATGAACAAATTAAGCACCTACAAAAATAAAGTGTCTTAAAATTTGGGTCTGTGTGAATGTGTTTGTGTGAGTATGAGCCTGCATTCTTAGCTTTTCATTCCTCCTACTATTCTATAGCCACATCTCTCTCTCTCTCTCTCTCTCTCTCTCTCTCTCTCTCATGCATTTGCTGGCTAGCTGCTTAAGTTCTGCAAACCAATGAAAAGCAGAAAGTAGGGTTATATTTTTAATCAAGCAAGCTGCATAGAGTTACTACAGTAAAAAATGTCCCTAAAAGCAACAAAGTGAAAGGGAGAAAAAAAGAGAAAGGGAGCTGCAATTAAGGGCAGGTCCCAAACCCAATAAAGAAAAGAAAAAAGGGTTCAACTAAAGTAAGCTCAGTAAATCCAAAAAGACGAAAATGGTGGGAATCTTCATTCCACTGTGCAAAATCATCCCATACCGCCACCTCTCTCTCTTTTACTCCTCCTTTTCATGCCCCTCAGCTTTCTCTTTCCTATATTTTCCTCTCTCTCTCTCTCTAAAATTTTCTCAGCTTCTGGCATGCAAGCAACAACACTACTATGAACTACATCTCTATGGGATTTTCATGTGAGGATGATTTTGTAAGTCCTTTCTTTCTCTCGCCACACACATACACTTTTCCATGGGTAATGGTTTCGATCCGCACTCATTTTCTCCTCCTGCCCAGACTTGTTTAGTGTGCAGAAATCACTTCCCTTTTCTATCCTTTCCTTGAGTAGTACTCATTGACGTGAATGTTTAATCAGGACGGAAAGGAAGGCGAAGCTCCACTTTTATATGAAACGAGGGAGAATCAACACAGAAGCAGCAGGTGCATGGATGTTCATAATCATGACCATCATATGCAGGTTGAAGTCGACTTCGAGTTTTGGCCGGTGGAACATCCTCTTGAGCCACCTGATGAGGATCGCCCTGTCAAATGCCCGATGCCCGACTCTTCTGTCATTAATGTGAGCAAGTAATCTGATAGATATTTCATTCCTTCTTACATGACATTTTCCCCTTATATATGCCTTTTTTGCTTTTATCTGTAAAATTTCGTAATGAATACTTTCTTATCTCAGTCACTAGCATTACGATCTATTAACATATCTTTTCACTTGTAAGTGAGAGACGTTCTAAGCTAAAACGTTTCTTCCTCCGGTCATTGCCTTTATATATATATATATATATATTTGTTTTTTTTTTTTTTGTTTTTTTGTTTTGTGTAGATCTTGATGTTATTTTGTTGCTCGAATACATGGACTGAAAGGAATTTCAATACAATTAGTAGTAAAAACTTGAGGCGTATATTTAACCTCTGGCAGTGTTATATATGCAGATTGATTTTGTCTCACGTAAAATGCATTTACAGGGAGGAGGGAGGAGGGAAAAAAGGCTTTCAGAGAGCAATAGCATGCGTAAGAGGACAGAAGCATCGTCTGCGCCTGGAGCAGCTTATAGCAATCAAGGATTAATGAATCAGACGGTAGCGGCAGTGGCAACGCCGCCTCCTGTTCGAGCAGTGCGTAAGAGGCACCACCACACTCTCACCCGCGGCGACCATATGATATCACCTCTGAGAAGGATGCCACCTCTTCCTTCTCTCCCAACTCAGAGCATTACCGTCTTTCAAATGCTCCAGCAGTTCGACAAGTTCGACTCTTGAACGAAATTAAACCCAGTTTTCGTTTTTATTCAGTGATGAGAAGATCCTCTTGATATCACATATGTTGTAGCTTATAGTTAGCCCGAGCTTGGACTTTTTATGATTTCATTGTATAATCGTCTAGTTTTTCTCACTTATTTTAGGGAAAGTGATTTCCGCACACTTGCTTTAACTTTCTCCCTTGATTTTCTTTGGTTTTATGACCAAACAAAACAGGTGTGCAGGAGGAGAAAAGAGATTGCGGAAATCAGTTTCCTATTTTAAAGGAAGGGGCATAGCATATGATAACTTTTTCTCTTTCATTACAAAAATCACGTCCTATACATATATAGGTATCTGAAAGGAAAAAGACATGAAGAAACCGTAATCTCCTAAACAGGGGAGTAAAAAAGAGCAAGTTCGCCGTCTTCCATGGAGAGTTGTCCACTATGGTATCACCCTCGAGAGTTTCCAGAATAATACCGCAGCAAGGTTAACCACCTTCATCTTCTCTGTCTTCCCGTCCCTTTTCCACATTCACCGCACAATTATCAGCTGTAAAACCCAGATGCCCGTGCAGCACATTTGGATAGTCCCGCTCCGGTTTCTAAACAAAGTTTCATTCAAAAAGTGATATACATAGGGCAACTCCTATGCCAAGTATCAACGCAGTTAGCTGTAAAGCCGTGCTTTTCAACGATGAGCCGCCATTGTTGTTCATTTCAGCAAGCACTCCAGCAACAGCAATGTATATAAATCCACCAGCTGTAAAACCCTGAAAATAGATTCAACAAAGTATAAAGATAATTACTTAGATCATGAAAGCCATTTATGAGCCGAATATTTAACCAGAACATTCCCGGGCTATATTATTGTCACCTCAATCAAAGATGACTGTCCTGCATTCTGTCCCAAAATAAGAGCCTGCATCAATAGCAATGGATTACTCTCATTTCAATTATCGAAGATACTAACCAAAATGGAATAACCCTACAACAAAGTATTGACAATACTTTACCACTGCGGTTCCAAGTAGTGCCACAAGTGCTGAGAGAAAGTTGAAGAACAGAGCTTTAGATACGCTGAAACCAGACCTTACAAGAATACCAAAATCACCGACCTGAAACAAAGGTAAAACAAGCTATAAAGTTATATACCTCCAAGAACCAAGACAACAAGACTCAGATTGGATGTGACTGTTTAGCCAGCCCGCCTATCTAGACTACCTCATTACATATTAACGAACAACAGAGAGAACTCAAACCTCTTGAGGAATCTCATGTGCAAGCAAGAACAGAGTTCTAGACCACCCACCAACAGATCCATGAAGCAGGAATGCACTTCCTAAAGCCATCCCATCTGTAAAATTGTGCTGCAGTGGCAATACAAATATTTCAGTAAATAATATCTATCATGAACCACATTTTGTTTAAAGATATACAAGCTTGAGAGCAAGCAAGAAGTCACATACAACACCATCCGAGAAGAGATTGAGATAGCCGAACACAAGATTTGAGGGTGATCGAGTAGTTTCCCCTTTTGCGGACTTGGCCTCAGGAGTGGAATCATTTGCAGCATGTACATGTTGTTTATCATCGCTCCCACCAGTCCTAGTGTTTCTCTGCACAATGGAAATATGGCCATACTTAAATTGCAGTCCAGTATTAAAAGTTGATTAACAAAATTAGATTGACCACAAAAAATCAGATAATGGTAAGATTCATGCAAGATGCATATAACTATATAAGCCAGTAGATGTCAAGTCTGTGCCGACTTTAAACAAAGATGAACACAAACTCTCTGAAAAACCAAGAAGCCAACTAAACTGCTTGCCTTGCGAATATGAGAGTCCTGTTGAGTATTTTCAATCAAAGAATCATTTAAACCATCAGCTGTCACTTCTCCGTCAGATGACTTCGTCAGTTTCCTTCCATCTTTTCCATTAGAAGATTCTGACTGCAAGTCATCATGAGAATCATTATCATCCTTCAATTTCTTGCTCTTCTTATGATGATGATGATGATGATGACCATGACTCCATGCATTAGTTCCTCCAGAGTTTTCCTCAACATACCTCACTGTCTTTTCTACCAGAAGAAATAATACAATTCCCGCTGCAACAACCAATACGGTACTTTTAAAATTCAACTAAAACCAATCAGGAAGGACCTTACAATAATCGGGTACAATAAGAAGCTCAAGGAAACCAATAACACTAGGAAACGAAAGAAAGGGTTACAGCCCTACGGAGTCGTATGGAAGAAGTGATGTGCACGTAGAAACATTTATGCACACAGAAACATACATCACATGCACCTGCCCTCGGACACCCACACAAACACAAATTCATGCAGACACGAAGCATGGTTAAGACAGCATGCAGAACACAGATTAGAACTAACCCAGGATGGATAATCCTACTGAAAGATCGTCCAAAGAATGCGAATGTGAATGCTCATGCAAATGGGAATGGGAATGGCCTTCATGGTGGTCATGCGAGTCGGAGTGCCCTCCTCCTGCAATTAATATAAGATTCTGGGTCAACTGCTGATAAATCTAAAAGGCATGCATCTTACACATTATCATTTATTAAGAAATTATACATTTTTCAAACAACAACAACAACAAAGCCTTTTCCCACTAAGTGGGGTCGGCTATATGAATCCTAGAACGCCATTGCGCTCGGTTTTGTGTCATATCCTCCGTTAGATCCAAGTACTCTAAGTCTTTTCTTAGAGTCTCTTCCAAAGATTTCCTAGGTCTTTCTCTACCCCTTCGGCCCTGAACCTCTGTCCCGTAGTCACATCTTCGAACCGGAGCGTCATTCGGCCTTCTTTGCACATGTCCAAATCACCGGAGCCGATTTTCTCTCATCTTTCCTACAATTTCGGCTACTCCTACTTTACCTCGGATATCCTCATTCCCAATCTTATCCTTTCTCGTGTGCCCACACATCCCACGAAGCATCCTCATCTCCGCTACACCCATTTTGTGTACGTGTTGATGCTTCACCGCCCAACATTCTGTGTCATACAACATCGCTGGCCTTATTGCCGTCCTATAAAATTTTCCCTTGAGCTTCAGTGGCCTACGACGGTCACACAACACGCCGGATGCATTCTTACACTTCATCCATCCAGCTCGTATTCTATGGTTGAGATCTCCATCTAATTCTCCGTTCTCTTGCAAGATAGATCCTAGGTAGCGAAAACGGTCGCTTTTTGTGATCTTCGCTAGATTGCTCCGGTCATTAGTGTGTGGATAAGTATATAAATGGATAGAGATAGGAAAGCAAACACAAGATGTACGTGGTTCACCCAGATTGGCTACGTCCACGGAATAGAAAAGTTCTCATTAATTGTGAAGGGTTTACACAAGTACATAGGTTCAAGCTCTCCTTTAGTGAGTACAAGTGAATGATTTAGTACAAATGACATTAGGAAATATTGTGGGAGAATGATCTCGTAATCACGAAAACTTCTAAGTATCGGAGTGTGGTGTCGTCTTGACTTGCCTTATCTGTCTCATAGGTAGATGTGGCATCTTCTCTGGAAGTACTCTTCCTCCATCCAGGGGTGGTATCTTTAACTGGTGGAGATGCACAAGGTAATGTATCAATTTCACTTGAAGCTTACTTGTAGTTTCAGGCTTGGTCAAGCGCGATACAAACCATGTGTAGTAGGAGTCCCCCAAGTCGCCGAGCTAGGGGGTCTGCTGAAAGAGGTGACAGACAAGGTAAGCAATCAAAGCTCCAACTGATTGTTCACCTTCTCCCCATCTTTTCAGCAGCATGAAGGATAAAGAGAAGAAAAATGAGAAGAGATGATATGAGATACTTTTGCTTTTGAAGAAGTAACTTTCCACAGGCTTATTCTTGAACTGAGCTGGAGGGTTTTCTGGTTTCCTCCAGAGTATAAGGCCGACTGAAGAATTTGAGGGTCAAAACAAGTCCATCAAATCTAGAGTACGTTCCACCCTGCTGATATGGGATACTTTTGCTTTTGACAGAGTAATGGATGTATCGGCACGTGTGCTGTTACGCTTGTCTCCACATGCTTCCTTGTATCCTTCGCACTTGCCCTATCTGTTCCTCAAGCAGATGCGGAATCTTCCCTGGAAACATAAGATGTTGAAGATGAGTACTCGAGAGCAATGCCAGGTAAGTAATCAGGTAAGCGGTTCCAGGCAGTCAGTTCCTGGCTGGAAGCTTGATTCCAAGTGCTGACTGATTGCTCTCTTTCTCCTTGTCTTGCAGGTAAAAACAAGGCCAAAGGAAAAGACAGGGAAAAAGCATGATATGGGATACTCTTGCTTTTAACCCTGATGATATGAGATATTCTTGCTCTAGTATAGCTTGTTTGCAGAGGTATTATCGGGGGGAAAGAAAGCTGAATATTTCGAAAGGTTTCGTTGGGAGTGCCCTCTCATATATGATGAAGGGTTGAGCATTTTTGCAGGTCTGCCTGTTCGTTGGGGATGGAGGTCGACATATATAGGAGTCTCCCTAACAAGTAGTAATGTTATTCCTTTACCCTGCTTGGTCATATCACGGTAGTGGGAGTTGCCAGTTTCACATGTTTTAACTCTGTCAGAGCACTTTGAAAAAGTGGTCTGTGGTATCTGGCTCTCGAGATTCGGAGAACGATGCCTCTTCGATTTTTGAGAAAGCAATCATGCTGGGGGTCTGGCTCTCGAGATTCGGAGAGCAGTGTCTCTTCGATTTTTGAGGAAGTAATCATGTTGGGAGTCTAGCTCTCGAGATTCGAAGGGCGGTGCCTCTTCGATTTTGGAGCAAGCAATCTTGTTGGGAGTGTTGTCTCGAATGTGAGTAAAGGTTGGGCATGTTTGCTAGTCTACCTTGCCACGAAGCACAAGGTTGACACACAGGGACTTTCCAATTATCCAGCAATGGTACTGTTCCTTTACCCTCTCTTCGATTTTGAGAAAGTAGTCATGTTGGGAGTCTGGCTCTCGAGATTCGGAGGACGGTGCCTCTTCGATTTTGGAGCAAGCAATCTTGTTGGGAGTGTTTTCTCGAATGTGAGTAAAGGTTGGGCATGTTTGCTAGTCTACCTTGCCACGAAGCACAGAGGTTGACACACAGGGACTTTCCAATTATCCAGCAGTGGTACTGTTCCTTTACCCTTGTGGGTAATAATATGGTAGCTAGACCTTCAAAATTTATGTGTCTAAACTTTGTTAGTGCTGTTTCTTTGCTATTCTTTTACCTTTCTTGGTCAGAGCGATTTAGTGGGAGCTGCAAGCTTCACGTGCTCAACTTTGGCAGAGAACTTTGGCAAAGTTATCTGTGGTACCCATGAGCTATTGTTGCGTGTGGGAAGTGGGTGATTAAACAGTAAGATTCATGTGCTTTCTACTTCACCAGAAGTCTTCGACAGAATGCCCATAATTTCTGCAAAGCTGAGTGTGCGTGTGACAGGTGCTGACAAGGCTAGAAAAGTAGGTGCCTCTTCGATTTCTGAGATCGAGCCTCGTGGTCTCTGAGCAGCCCAGCTTTTGAGAAAGCGAGCGCCTCTTCGATTGATTCGAAGAACGATGCCTCGTCGATTTTTGAGAAAGCAATCATGCTGGGGGTCTGGCTCTCGAAGATTCGGGGAGCAGTGTCTCTTCGATTTTTGAGAAAGTAATCATGTTGGGAGTCTGGCTCTCGAGATTCGGAGGGCGGTGCCTCTTCGATTTTGGAGCAAGCAATCTTGTTGGGAGTGTTTTCTCGAATGTGAGTAAAGGTTGGGCATGTTTGCTAGTCTACCTTGCCACGAAGCACAGAGGTTGACACACAGGGACTTTCCAATTATCCAGCAATGGTACTGTTCCTTTACCCTCTCTTCGATTTTTAAGAAAGTAGTCATGTTGGGAGTCTGGCTTTTGGAGCAAGCAATCTTATTGGGAGTGTTTTCTCGAATGTGAGTAAAGGTTGGGCATGTTTGCTAGTCTACCTTGCCACGAAGCACAGAGGTTGACACACAGGGACTTTCCAATTATCCAGCAGTGGTACTGTTCCTTTACCCTTGTGGGTAATAATATGGTAGCTAGACCTTCAAAATTTATAGGTCTAAACTATGTTAGTGCTGTTTCTTTGCTATTCTTTTACCCTTCTTGGTCAGAGCGATGTAGTGGGACCTGCAAGCTTCACGTGCTCAACTTTGGCAGAGAACTTTGGCAAAGTTTTCTGTGGTACCCATGAGCTATTGTTGCGTGTGGGAAGTGGGTGATTGAACAGTAAGATTCATGTGTTTTCTACTTCCCCAGAAGTCTTCGACAGAATGCCCATAATTTCCGCAAAGCTGAGTGTGCGTGTGACAGGTGCTGACAAGGCTGGAAAAGTAGGTGCCTCTTCGATTTCTGAGATCGGCCCTCGTGGTCTCTGGGGAGCCCAGCTTTTGAGAAAGCGAGCGCCTCTTCGATTTCTGAGATTAGCCTTCGTGGTCTTTGAGCAGCCCAACTTTTGAGAAAGCAAACGCCTCTTCGATTTCTGAGATCAACCCTCGTGATCTCTAAGCAGCCCAGTTTTTGAGAAAGCAAACGCCTCTTCGATTTCTGAGCAGGCGCCTCTTCGATTTCTGAAGCTCCGTCGAGTGCAGATTTTTTAGGGGCTGGCATTACGTTCCAAAGCACACTTGAATCTCCACCAGTAGAAGCTTCATTCTTGCACTTCTAAGATCTTGATTTGTCCGACCTCTTCTCTCTTCAAACACCTTTGAAAATGTCTGGCCCCTCCGACCGTCGTTTTGACTTGAACCTTGTTGAAGAGGCAGCCCCGCCTTCTCCAGACAACATATGGCGCCCATCCTTCGTCTCCCTTACTGGTCCTCTTACTGTTGGGGATTCCGTGATGAAGAATGATATGACCGCTGCGGTGGTGGCCAGGAACCTTCTCACTCCCAAAGATAACAGACTACTTTCCAAACGGTCTGATGAGTTAGCTGTTAAGGATTCGCTGGCTCTCAGTGTTCAGTGTGCAGGTTCTGTGTCTAATATGGCCCAACGCCTATTTGCTCGAACCCGCCAAGTTGAATCATTGGCGGCTGAAGTGATGAGTCTCAAACAGGAGATTAGAGGTCTCAAACAGGAGAATAAACAGTTGCACCGGCTCGCACATGACTATGCTACAAACATGAAGAGGAAGCTTGACCAGATGAAAGAAACTGATGGTCAGGTTTTACTTGATCATCAGAGATTTGTGGGTTTGTTCCAAAGGCATTTATTGCCTTCGTCATCTGGGGCTGTACCGCGTAATGAAGCTCCAAATGATCAACCTCTGATGCCTCCTCCTTCTAGGGTTCTGTCCAGTACTGAGGCTCCAAATGATCCCCCTCCGGTGCCTTCTCTTTCTGGGGCTCTACCGACTGCTGAGACTTCTCCTAAGCAACCTTTGTGAAGGCTCCCTCTTGTGTGTTTATTTTGACTCATGTATATGTACATATTTGTAGCTTATCGGGGATATCAATAAATAAGATTTCCTTCATTTCAACGTATTGTGTTAAATACACCAAAGCCTTCTTCGCTAAGTTCTTTGAATTTTCTTTTGTTGAAGCTTGTATGTTGAAGCTTTCTGAGTGGAGCATGTAGGTTGGGGTAGTGTTCCCTTAATTTTCCGAGTGAGGAAAAACTTCTCGGTTGGAGACTTGGAAAATCCAAGTCACTGAGTGGGATCGGCTATATGAATCTTAGAACGCCATTGTGCTCGATCCTGTGTCATGTCCTTCGTTAGATCCAAGTACTCTAAGTCTTTTCTTAGAGTCTCTTCCAAAGTTTTCCTAGGTCTTCCTCTACCCCTTCGGCCCTGAACCTCTGTCCCATAGTCGCATCTTCTAATCGGAGCGTCAGTAGGCCTTCTTTGCACATGTCCAAACCACCGTAACCGATTTTCTCTCATCTTTCCTTCAATTTCGGCTACTCCTACTTTACCCCGGATATCCTCATTCCTAATCTTATCCTTTCTCGTGTGCCCACACATCCAACGAAGCATCCTCATCTCCGCTACACCCATTTTGTGTACGTGTTGATGTTTCACCGCCCAACATTCTGTGCCATACAGCATCGCCGGCCTTATTGCCGTCCTATAAAATTTTCCCTTGAGCTTCAGTGGCATACGGCGGTCACATAACACGCCGGATGCACTCTTCCACTTCATCCATCCAGCTTGTATTCTATGGTTGAGATCTCCATCTAATTCACCGTTTCTTTTGCAAGATAGATCCTAGGTAACGAAAAACGGTCGCTCTTTGGTATTTCTTGATCTCCGATCCTCACCCCTAACTCTTTTGGCCTCCATTTGCACTGAACTTGCACTCCATATATTTCTGTCTTTGCTCGGCTTAGGCGAAGACCTTTAGATTCCAACACTTCTCTCCAAAGGTTAAGCTTTGCATTTACCCCTTCCTGAGTTTCATCTATCAAACACTATATCGTCTGCGAAAAGCATACACCAAGGAATATCATCTTGAATATGTCCTGTTAACTCATCCATTACCAACGCAAAAAGGTAAGGACTTAAGGATGAGCCTTGATGTAATCCTACAGTTATGGGAAAGCTTTCGGTTTGTCCTTCATGAGTTCTTACGGCAGTCTTTGCTCCTTCATACATATCCTTTATAGCTTGGATATATGCTACTCGTACTCCTTTCTTCTCTAAAATCCTCCAAAGAATGTCTCTTGGGACCCTATCATACGCTTTTTCCAAATCTATAAAAGACCATGTGTAAATCCTTTTTCCCATCTCTATATCTTTCCATCAATCTTCGTAAGAGATAGATTGCCTCCATAGTTGAGCGCCCTGGCATGAACCCGAATTGGTTGTCCGAAACTCGTGTCTCTTGCCTCAATCTATGCTCAATGACTCTCTCCCAGAGCTTCATTGTATGACTCATTAGCTTAATACCCCTATAGTTCATGCAATTTTGTACGTCGCCCTTATTCTTGTAGATAGGCACCAAAGTGCTCGTTCGCCACTCATTTGGCATCTTCTTCGTTTTCAAAATCCTATTGAAAAGGTCAGTGAGCCATGTTATACCTGTCTCTCCCAAAAGTTTCCACACTTCGATTGGTATATCGTCTGGGCCTATTGCTTTTTTATGCTTCATCTTCTTCAAAGCTACAACCACTTCTTCCTTCCGGATTCGACGATAAAAAGAGTAGTTTCTACACTCTTCTGAGTTACTCAACTCCCCTAAAAAAGCACTCATTTCATGTCCTTCATTGAAAAGATTATGAAAATAACCTCTCCATCTGTCTTTAACCGCGTCTCTGTAGCAAGAACCTTTCCATCCTCATCCTTGATGCACCTCACTTGGTTTAGGTCCCTTGTCTTCTTTTCCCTTGCTCTAGATAGTTTATAGATATCCAACTCTCCTTCTTTGGTATCTAGTCGTTTATACATATCGTCGTAAGCCGCTAACTTAGCTTCTCTCACAGCTTTCTTCGCCTCTTGCTTCGCTTTTCTATACCTTTCACTTACACATTGTCATAATTTAAAAGCTACTTTTTTAAAGATGGATTGTTATATGCTCTTCGCAAATTAAGATATAAGAACTTAAGAAATAATTAAATACTTGAAACGTCAGATTATATCAGGTGTAAGAACATTATATGGTATAGATTTGTACAGTGTAAGGATGAACTAAAAGATGCAAATCAACGCAGGCTTCATAAACTAGTTCCAGATTATTGTCATACCAAAAGCATGTGGTAATTGATGAAGAAAAGCATCCCCCAACATTGCTCCAGCCTGCAAATGAAGTACAAATTAGATTGTCAAATTCCCATTCCCATCCACTTGCTCCAACAATCTACTCCAACGGTCAAAGTTCTGTAAACTTATAGAGGCACAATTCCTAAAGCCTAAATTGGGTATTTGAATCGATGACGATCTTAACACGGATACAAGAAAACTTAAAGAGTATACATATCAAATTGGTACTAAAGAGATGCAAACCGTATACAATTGGATTAGATTTTAAAACTAGATAAACAGGTCTGCAGAATCTGACCCCAAATAAAGCCAACGAATCAACAACTGCCTTGGATGGCTTCCCCTGCACTGCAATAAAGCAGTAACTTCAGTCCTGGTCATCGGCAAAGGCTTCTTGAAGCAAAAGTCATCGGCAGCGTCAATAAAAAGACAATGTAAGTAACAACTGAATCACTTACCAAATATCACTGGCAATATAATCAGGCAAATGAGGGAGGCCATGCTCACCAAAAGCGAGCACCCCAAGGAATGAATCCAAAGACCTATAAAAGATATATAAGAAAGCGGTTACAGACTCACACATTCGAGATGAGCTTATTTTGTATGACACAAACTTTAGGTGCAGCGAAAAAGAAACACACAATCGGATGTGAAGCAAAATAAAACAAAGGTTTTTTTTAAAAGACAGAATCTTGTGTCATGGCTAATTCAGCAACACAGATTTCGCACTTTCGACCGTGAAATCAGATTACAAACCAGACAAGCATTATACTTTTCGCCATTTATATCAATACCAAAATGAAAATTTCCCAGCTTTTGTACCCACCAATTGGCCTCTTCAAAAATTTCAATTCGTTCAATCCGCATTCGAAGCAATCAAGCAGTATAACGAAAATTAAACCAATTAAGTGCCTCACACATCATACACAATTTCGAAGAAATACCAAGAACCGAGAGCTGCGGAGCACCAAAATGCTCGTGATCGTGACCATGAACGTGCTGATGAAATTCAAATCCGTACAACTTCATGTCCTCCTCCTCCGCCAATTCCTCGGGAAGCTTCGATGTCGCCAACAATCTCTCCTCTTGGTGGCCGTGGCCGTGGCTGTGGCTGTGGCCGCTGCTGTGACCGTGGCCGTGGTCGTGGTGGTGCGCATGGCTGCAGCCGTGGTGTTGAGTGTGAGGCTCGTGAGCGGCAGATGCAGAGAACCCAGAAACAAAACTCAGATCCGAACAGTGCGCAACAACCAAAGCAACAGCAACCAAGACGAAACCTTTCTTACAAAGCGCCATTTTCTGAGAAACCCCAGTCGTGTGTTAAGGTGGGGTTTTATTGTAATTATCGAATTTAAGGTCGGTGTTGGTGGAGAAGTAGAAGTCTGTTTTGTCGGGAGGGAGGGCTTAAGAAGGACGGCGCTTGCAAGTGCCTTCGATGGTCACGACAACAACAGCAACAAAAAAGAGGACGATTATGCCGATTATTATGCCGAATGTCACCGCATCCATCCCCGACACTCTCTCTCCCTCTCCCTTTTCGGGCCTTTTTTTTTTTCTTTATCCTTTTATTTTGTTCTCGGAATCCCCAAAGAACTCTGACAGCCCGGTCGCTATTCTCTCACTCCACACTCTTTGCCACTCCCGCAAGTCCACAGTCGAGAGACTCGCCTTTCTGGATTGGATTGGCCGCCCAACAAGTCCACTACTTTGTGTCATCATATCATCCAACAAATCCACAACTTTGTGTCGTATCACATTTGAGTTTTTTTGTCTGTTTGGCATTGAGGATTTCGAAAATTTGTGAATCGTATTTATTTATTGTACATCGTACAATAAGAAATTATTTTAAATATTTTTATTTAAAATTAAACACAAATATTACTTGACAAAAACTGATCGCACGATGCATGATGAACGACACGATTCACGGATCTCCAGGATCATCTCTGTCCCTAAAAGGATCGAGAGGGGATCTTGTTGGCATTGCGGGGAGACCAACCTAACATGGTTACTCCGTCACGTGACTTTTTTGTCAATAAAAATAAAAATATTTGAATAAAAAAAACCTCACATATTTTTATTTTATTAGCACAAATATCATCGTAACGGAATACCCAAATTATATAAATCAGTCGGACATTGTTTGAGACTACTTACTAGAAGTGTTCCCATCCCTTAAATACTCCTACTGGTAAATTTGGTATTGGATTCCAACACAAGAAATCTTCAAGTTTGTCAACCAGATGTAAATTCAAAGATTTACCAGCACAAGAATTGCATCCAAGTGGTTTTGCATCTTGTTTGCACATAGAAACGAAGAAAGATTTCAATGAAATCGTACTTAACGTAACACACCATATTAGTTGCTCTGTTCAGAAGTCCTATCTAGCGAGAAGCGTCGAAAACGTGCTTAAGAATGCCTGTGACAGTATCAAGAATAAACTCTTCATCGCATCCTGTTACAAACTTAACTGCAATTAAAAGGAATAAACTCAATTAGTACCAGTGCTTTCTTTCAATTAACTGAGATGCTGCAATAGCGGTGTAAAAACGCGAAATGGTGAATAAACAAAACCTCCACAAAGCACATCACGAGAGAAAAGAGTAAGGAAACTAGAAATCTTACCCCAAGGAAGAACAGGAAATTCCAACATCTGTTTAGGTACGGTGATGATATATGAAGCAACCTGCAAAACAACATGAAAACAAAATTAGAGAACAACAAACCAAAGTTAGCAACATTTACTAGTACTAAGATTCGGTTCTGTTAAACATGCCAAGACCGATGCAGCGAGAGAGCGAGGATTGGTGTAGAGCATCGATGTCTCCTCCTTTTCGTAAAGAAGATCCATGATGTCCATGCCTGCTTCAAAGTTCACAAGTTCCCCAACTTTTGCGACTCCCCTGAACTCAAAACCCCACGAAAGATGTATCAAAATGAGGCTAGTAATCCTCGAAAACAAGCAGATCATGAAAGGAAGAAGCTAACACTAACAGTACAATGAAGGTAACGAAAACTTACTTGAATTGGAGCAGAAGCTCTTCAAAGTGTACAAAAGCAATATTGTTCATGCCAATCTCAAAATTCACTTCCTTTGATGAAGAACATAGACAACTCTCAGCCGACTAGCACAATACAAAGCAAACAAAAAGAAAGAAGAGAAGAGAAAATCCAGAGCTTTAGAGTGTACCTGCATTAAAACCACCTCCTGTGACATGATCAACCAAAATGTAACGCACCCGATAAGAAAAAAGATCAAATTTTTATGTGGAATACGTGCTTCGCGAAGCCCTTGGCAAAAATAGCACTACATATTTATGGCTTACCGCTTCCAAGTAATCTCGAACGGTAGTGTTGCTCCTTGATGATGCTGTCCCCCAAAGACTTGAATATCTTCACAGACAAATGCGGAGAAGTGTGTATCTATCGATAAAGCATCAAATGGACATAGATTAGGATGAAAAGTCCAAGAAAATTTGCAGAGAAAAAGATCGAAAACCTACTTTCGTTGAAATCCACAGCGAAACAAGCGCAAACAGCTGCAAATTGCTTTCTCTCAAGGGATACAAAAGCCAGTTTGCTACATCATTTGCCCGTTCCTCCAACCTTCAAATGTACTTCCAAATCAAGTGAAGCCCTAATTTTAATTGAAGAAAAAACAGAAATTGAAAAATTTTAGATGGAATTACTTACCGGGACAAACATCGAGGATAAAATCGATGAGCGAAGAGGGACAATGCGGTGTATTTCACTATCGGAGCGACTTGGAGTTGCTAAATTTTGCATTCCGGTGTGAGAATTTGAGGAAATTGAGAATAAAATCGATTAAATTCAGAGCGATAAATAATTCGAAACCGGCGTACTTGAGCAGATTCGATGAGCAAGTGAAGGAGGCGCGCTCGCAGAGGCAGCGCCGCCGCAGCGAACTCACTCTGCATCTCTCTACGCCGCCTTTGGAGTCTCTAGTTTTAGGGCGCGCGTTTTTGAAACTGGACATTTTTGCTTACTTCCGGAAGCTAACGACGGCGTTTCGGACATACGATTATTTGGGCCTCATACACTAATTCCGCCCCGTTTCGGTTGGGTCTCAAGGCCCGCGTTTGTCTTGTTCTCTTGCTGGGCTTCGGCCCTCCATGTTATCCCAATTAGTTTTGGTAATGATCTTACGTCGGAATGGGAGGTGATGAGGAGAATGGTGCAGCGAATGGTTGACAAATATGAGTGTGCGTCTTAGTTTGTGTATAGGGGTGCAGCTTGGAATAATTCCGATTCTGAAAGTAAGGGTTTATCGTTAACGTTTTGCAAAACAGTTTTAGTTTTCTGAAAATTCCAAATTCGATTATGAAATTTTAGAATGAAAATTAAAAACGTTGTTTCTGATCCGATCTATTCGAAAATCACCCATATTTGGATCTACAAACTCTATCTGGTGTGGTAGATATACTTTGACCCTTTCAGGTACCAAAGAAAACCATTGTTCTATCATTGTTTTAATTTGTTTTCTTTACTTTGATATTGTGGGTATGCCCTAACGCTGGTGGTGAGAATAGCTAATCTCCTACTAAACTTTTTTTTTTTAATCTAAAAGAAAAACGAATGAATAATGGTCGTGATTAGGGAAACATGATCCATGACAATTAAATACAACTTGCTAGTCCATGTATGGCTTTTCTTTTCAAATTTATCTCCTTCAAATGAACAGCATTATTTGTTTCAAATTTATCTCCTTCAAATGAACTGCTTTATCTGTGTTCCAAATTGATTCTCGCGTGAGGAGTGGGTGTAGGCCACAAGGACAAGCAACCTGTAATAGTATTTTCTTTGAACAAGTTGTAGTTTTTCTTATCGATCATATCTTTGGTATCCGGTATATATTCTTGTTTATTAAAAATGAAGATCAGATGGATGATGGATCTTCCACTTAGCCATGCTCAAAGATATGCTGTTCCCACTACAAGACATATTTCCAAACTTCCCAATCATATATGTCATCATGTGTTTCCATTTCCTTCACTCCTTTCATTTTATCTTTTTCAATAATAAAATTGAATTTCCCGATAAATGATCATCGTTTAGTGCATTCATTTTAGAGAAATGTTAAGCGATTCTCTCAAAGTGAAACTTTTTGCCACCTCATAATTTAACGACAATTTTTGTGCTAACATTATAAAATAGGGAACTTTAACGAAAAGCACCCGGTACTGTTCACTTTAACGAAAAACCACATTTTTACACTAAAAAGTCAATCCTGGTACTATTCACTTTACCCTTTATTTTGTCCTTATCATTAAAACTCAAAGTTTTCAAGCCATTTTCATTAGTTTTCCTTATAAAATATTGTGCAAAAAATATGAGGTCACAGACACAACGAATGAGTCGGGATTTTAGCTTACAAGGGGCTCAAAAGTCGCAATCTGAAACGCTCTCTTAATCTTACAAAAATTACTTTGATGTATGGTGAGCAACCGACTATCGTCATTTGTGTCTGATATAATATCGTTCTCATCATATATCCTCTTCCTTAAACCTAAACCTGAAGCCTCTCTAACTTTCTTCCTCTCTCCCTCCATTAATCTCCAGACCAAAGTTCACCTCAAAGCTCACAAACAACAGATTGTCTGAACTCCATAGGAGCTACCAACCTCAAATCAAACCCGATGAAAAAATTAAAGTAAAAACATCTTATCAGGGCTCTGAACCTACGGAAAAACATTGAAAATCATAAGCAAAACACTAAACATTTATGCGTGAGAAAAATGTCATGATGGGCTTGGGACCATCGATCTTAATCCCTTCATAGCTCTGTCTTTGGTAGGAGAAAGTCCATGGAGAGTCTCACTTTTAAGAGTCTCCTTAGCATTTCTCTTCATTTAATTTGTCAGAGACATTTTTATAGGTATCTGAAACACAATTTATGCGATGTATTATTCATGTGTTATAACGAGAGTGGACAATAACTTTATATGTCTCAATTTTAGAACAACGTTACATTTACATGATTATGTTTCAAATACAACGAAAAAAATTGCTCAATTCTTAAGCTGCACTAATCATTAGTAAGTTCGATTAAAATATCTGCCACAAGATATATATGGGGGTGGTATTGGTACGATTACCATACCAAAACCCATGTACCAATTACCATATCAAACTTTTGGTATGACAAAATCTATTACCATTATCATGCCAAACTTTCGGTATACCAAATTTCAACATGCCAAATAGTTCGGTTGGCATGGTATGGTAATGGTAATTACCACTTTGTTTTGGGCCATTCTTTTGGGCCAAAATTTGATTTTTTTTTTTCAACCAAATTCAAGACCCAAACGTGTTTTGGTCACTCTCTTTAGGTTTCTAAAACTTTCTTATTTAATTATGAGAATTTTATAGAGATTCATTAAGAAACAAGAAGTAAACAGATGGAAGAATTGCTGAAAGAACCCAACATCCCTAAAAAATAGTACAAAGATTCCTAAATTCCATCTCTACATTCTTTAAAATTGTATAAAAATTAACTTGATATACGAAACCAAGGAGAAAGACATCCCAATTTGATGAAGGAGAAGATGAGATGGACTGCGAAGAGAGAGAGAGTTGCCGGAACGGGAGCAACATAAATGAAGCCGATGCCTAGATGAATGAAAAGATGAAGAGTCGCAACGCAAGAAGGCTTGGGTTTTTTTATTGGGAACGTAGAGGTTAGAGGGTGAGATGATTGGATACATGACTAGGAAAAAAATATAAAGTGCATATATAATGGTAAAAATACCTAAGTATATATATAAATGAATAAATAAATGATATAATATTAATAGTAGTGGTACGGTACGGTATACCACTGGTAATGGTTTTGAATACCATTATCGTACCAAAAATGTATGGTACGGTACAAATACCATATCATTACCAATGGTACAATTTTTTTGGCACAACTTTGGTATGGTACTATTGGTAATTCGGTTGATATAGTAATTTGGCAAAAAATTCCACCCCTAGATATATGTGAGTGCATGATGGTTAGCACACAAGACCCTGGTCGCCGGTTGGGAGCATAATATATATATATATATATATATATGTAATTAAATTTGTATTATGTATTATGATTGGACCAAAACAAAAACCTTCAATTTCATAATATTCGATCCAAATAGAAGGGGTGCTTCTTAACGCCAACTTTTACTGTACATTCATGAGCCGAGTTATGTAAGCACAACTATATATTTATTATAATTATTACAAGCTTCTTAAGTAAACTAATATTTTTATGATCAAAGTTTCCAGCTTGTTGATCTCCCTTTCCATACAAAATTATGGGTGGAGGATACTTGAAACTTGCTTGATACTCCGTCTAACCTGTCTGATACAAAAAAACTATGATATCCTCTCAATGTTCTTAAAACCCCAACTTCGGCTGTAAATATTGCATTCACAGGTCTGTGATCAGACAATTTTGATTCACCTCTATTGTATACATGTTGCTTCAACCCTTCTCCACGCCAAATTATCCGATCACACCTAAAAAAACCAATAATTAAAGACAATTAATTTCATATTACGTGTTATGATAACACCACGTGTCGGTATACATATTGCATGTTACATGTAATTGTTAAGCGAAACTTACCAGGCAGGAGCACGCCTCTTTTCACCTTTCTTTCCCGGAGGACATCCATAATATACATCAGAATTTGGACAATATTTGTAAGTGGGAGCAAATTCAACAGCTCCTTCATTCCAACCTTCGAGTACTTGTCCCTCTTTGAGCTGCATCATCAGCTAATCCCAATGAAAATTGATGTCAAATTTTGAGGGAAAGAAATTAACTTATTTTTTTTAAAATAAATATTTATATAAAGTGTACAGTGCTAACGATTAAGTGGTCTACCTGATCATGTTTTAGTAAGATATTCCATGCTCTTATATCCACTAACGAACGCGTTGTTGCTTCCGGAAGGGAAATTCTATAATTCAAGTCTCCGAGGAAAATTACTCGACTGCAATATTTTTGAACCAAGCAATTAGGCACCGGTGTTGATGTATCTAATTTGCAATAGTACTTCAAAACATATTATGTATATCTGTAATTAATTAGCTAGGCTTTATATGATATTAACTTTTGACTATATAATATATATATATATATATATATATATATATATGAGAAATGCTAATTAGGAGACTCTCAAAAGTGAGATTCTTCATGGACTTTCAGTCACCTCATGTTTTTTTGCACAATGTTTTATAATGTCGACACGGTAATTAACGTTAAGATGTGAAGTGTTAGAAAATTCATAAAGAATCTCACTTTTAAGAGAGTCCCTTGACTCTCATATATACATATATGAAGTCAATGTTTTAAAAAACCCATAGTTTGAATGACATGATCATATGACTAATAGACCATTTACTGTTTACTGGTATAGAGAAGTCAAGCTTTTCATGTGGTTAACATAATTAGTCCAACATGGCCATATAAAATTTGGTTAACAATTACTTAATTGTAAATAATATTATATAGAAGAAGACAAGTAGTAATAAAGATCAACAACACTACAGGTTTGTCGGCTCTATTAATTAGTTATTTGTCACGACAATTAAAAGAAGAAAAATAAACAATAATGGTGATAAGCCTTAAATATATATATATATTGTACTTGTCCAATTGTGTTATTTTCATGCTACGTACATATATAGTGAAAAATAGATTGATTGATTAATGAGATTAATTATATATTATGTATAATAAACTAATGCAATAACGAACTGGTTTGGGCGGTTTCAAAGTTTAGTTAACATACTCATGATCTAAGATCCTTCGTGGCAAATCAAGCAAAGGGCCTCTGGGAAAACTTGTTCTGGAAAATATATCGGATATGTTAGAATTCCTCAGTTTCTCATCTCCTTCTCTACCCCCTGAAGCTAGATGAGTGCACACGAAGCAGAAGCTTGTTTCATGTAATCGAAATCTAACAGAAAC